ACTATCCACAGCACGCACGTTCCTCACCATCCATCCTAACGCCTGCCTCCCACCCACTGGCTTCTCCCACAAGGACAGGTGGAATGAAGACGGGTTGGGGGAGGAGGTGGTCGGGGAACGAGGCCCCGGGGGCCGCGTGTGTTTCCCGCCGCCCCTCCCCCTCAGGCCGAGGGAGGTCTTAGCCTGGTTCCAGCGGGGGTTGCCCAGACCCTCAGATTTTTTCTCCCCTTCCCCCATCTTCCTAATAGGGGATCACACCCCCTCCAAATAACTGGGCCTGGGAGTGGGGTGGCCTGCGGCCACGCAGGAAGGTCAGTTAAAAGGGAGTCTGTGACACATGAGGACAGTTGTGTGTCCGACCGTGTGCTGCATTTTTTACAGGTGAGATAATTACGGATTTACCTGTGGCTGTAAGAAACCACACAGATTGTCTCTTGCATGCGTTGCTCAGTTTTTCCCGATGGTAACATTTTGCAGACTGCAGTACCACATCCCAACCGGGTTAGTGACTTTGACAAGATCGGCTGTCTGCAGTGTCACTTGTACCATTTACGTGAGTGAGCGTCAAGGTCTACGGCGTTTGGGCGCAGGTGAAGGCTCACATACCACCCCGGCGAAGCCGCAGAACATCTGCATAAGCTCGAGATCCCTTTGCTGCCCTCCTGTAGTGACACCACCGCCTCCCGGCCACCGCGGTCTGTCCTCCATGAATATCACTGTCGCACCTCAGCAGTGGTGTGTACCTGGGGGAGACAGCAGGTACCCTTTTCGGATTGGCTTCTCCACGCAGAGCAGTGCCCTGGAGAGTCACCAGCTCGCTGGGTGCTTCAGGTGTCTGTTTCTTTGTGCTGCTGGACGCACCACCCTTCCTCAGGCCGGTCTCCCGTCGAAGTACATCTGGCTGGATCCCAGTTCTGGGTGATTAGGAATAAAGCTGCTGGGAACCTCTGGGTGCGGGTCTTGGCGTGAACATCTGCTTTCATTTCAGGAGTGTCGTCGCTGGTTGTGAGGCAGTCGTGGTGTCCTGTATTTCTATTTCCTGAGTCTGGTGACCCGTCTGTTTTCTACAGGACCAGCTGAAGAAATGCTCCTGACTACAGGGAAGGACGCGGCCCAGAGGGCCCAGAGGGTCTTTGCAGGGCAGGGCCCTGGGTGGCCATGTGGAGCTTCCTGAGACAAGGGTCTTGCTGTTAGGGCCCCGGAGCACTGTTTCCCTTACTGGGGGCCCTCCCATCCTTCTCGTCCGAGAGGAAGAGCTCTAGAGTTTCCAAGGCGGCAGCCTAAATGTGACACATGACGCCGGCACCTGGCAGCGGGCAAGAGAGAGCAGCTGTGCGGGAACAGGAGCCAGCCCAGGTGGAAAGTGGGGGAGAGGGGATGCCCCACTCTCTCCCCGGGGCAGTGGGAAGTTCCTGTCCATGCAGGGACAGGTCTGGGGAAGCACAGGAAGCAGAAGGATCATCCCGAAACCGCTTCTGGGTGGGCAGGCCCCAGTAACCCAACCCCAAATCGGCTAGGCTGACAGCAACGTCCCCGTCCCCGGTGGAAAAGATGCCACGGCAGCCTGGGCCAGGGACACTGTGGCGAGAGCAGCTGCTGCCTGATTCACAGCTATTCTGAGGTTGGAACAGGAAATGGTTAATAGTGTTTGCAAATAAAAACTTTCTGTTCTAATCTGTTTTTGAAACATTTCCCAGAAGTTAAAAAAGAACACCTAATTTATCTGCCCAATTTAAGAACCAACGTTTAAAAAAATGAGATATTTCCACAATTTATTACACACAAGAATAAAGACAGTTGCGTTGTATCTTACAGACGGTGGCTACTCTCTCCCCTATGATTTTCTAAACTTTCTGGAATGCAGTTAGT